TATATATCCCTGACGGTCTGACCAGTGACCACAGACGAGCAGTGGACCCCCGGGCCCCCAGCCGGCAGCCAGAGGGGGCTGAGGGCTAAACTCAAACCGTTTTCCGTTAAAACTATAAAAATTGGAATAAATATACGTTTACGCTCAACTTTAATTTCATATGCGGTCCTTTGTATGCTCATAGGTGCAACTTACGGGTCTAAACATTTAAGTGTATGTCATGTTCATGATACGAACCAGTCCTGGAAAAAAACTTGGGTAGGCCTTTCTGATCACATTATAACCGTTATAACGTTTTAAAATTGAATAAATATGCGTTTACGTTTAACTTCTATCCCGTACCCCCTTATCGTTATGAGCTTAGGCTGAGGGCCCAGAACTGGTGACTGGTGTGGTACAGTGGTAGACTGGTAGCCCTCTATATAGTAAATAGTACATAAAATAGAGGGCTTTGACGCTATGCATTTATTGTTTTTTGTTTTTTAAAGCAGTTCTATGACTCTCGCTGTTCTATTTTCAGAAGGCTATGCCGGTATGCCCTCTCGCGTGAGAGTCATCAGAGAGTGTGACTGCTCATTGTTCTGGCTTCAGAACGAACTCACTGAACTGTGAGACTGGTTTCTTAAAACAAATCCCCTGTTGTTTCTAAATGACTGATGAGTTGATGACTCTTGATGACATTAGACTTGAAAGTGCTTTACAATTATAGATAAATATTATTGTTTATTGAAGTATTGATTTTACTATACAAAAACAAAACAAAAAATGTGGAATACCAAATCATCGAGAGGTTTCTATTCCAAAAGGCTATGTGAAATCAACCGATATTTATATTTATATAATATATATAGAGGGTATGTACATATTTATGTACAGTTGTATACACACGGGTTAAATTGTGATAAACACTCCCAGACTGCCTGCCACATAATTTCATAATGTCGTCGCATCGACCCTTGCCGACGGCTCCTGCTTGGAACAGTTACGATAACGTACACGAGTCTAAGTCTAGTGATCAAATATATGAAACTCTGGACGAAACCAATACATATTTTAAAGGAAAGTATGACCCACCACCTACATATGGTGGCGATGGTGGCGATGGTCGAGCTACCGGATTAACGAGGAAAAAAAAAATTGCTATTGGAAGCGCATTTGGCGTGCTGGTGGTGGCCTTGATCGTGATGGGTGTTGCGCTCAGCCTACTTATTTCTCAAGGTTCAGATACACCACATACCCAACCCCTGTCGTCCGAGCCACTAACAGTCGCACAGACACTACCTACGGTGTCTGCCTCACTCACCCTCACATCTGCAGCCTCTGCGTCACAGGAGATCACACAGAGTACACTCCCGTCGCCTACAATAATTACTTCTATGTCACTGTCTCGATCACTCACATCTGTCACCCCTTCACCTTCAACGTCACCGTCACATACACTGTCAAACTCACCAACGCTTTCTGCTTCAGCAAGTACTTCTATGGCACCCAGCCAAACACCTTCAATGACACCGTCACCATCCACCAAGTACTGCAGTTCAGGATGTGTGCAGACTATGTTAGGTAATCAGGAGTGCGATATTGTATGTGATGTATCCGCGTGTAGTTGGGATGGCGGCGACTGTGATAATGATATCGCAGCGCTCGCTGATCTCAGTGGCGAGCTTCAAGACAAACCGCTGGTGATAGTACCCATGAAGGTGATATCGGGAAACAATGATCGAGTCATTGACTTGTTCAGTATGGGCTTAAATGCAACTGTAAGGACTATGTTCGATCGATGTAAGATTGAGTGTGAAAGGTGGACGGCCTGCGCATCATTTGAAATTGTGGTAGACAAGGAGATATGCACGCTCGCGAAGGTTAAACCAGGAGACGAAGGTGTCGAGCTGAAAACGGACAATAATGCTGCCCTTGGTTACAGTTGAGTATCCTTAGCTACATATTTGGGCATTATAAGCGTGATATTTAGCTTCAACTTAAGGAACTGAAACATTGCTTCACTTCATCGCAATATTGGACTAAGGCTCATCCGACACATATATGTAGGCTCATCACCTGTCTTGTAGTGATTGTCTGCAGGACGACAGGTACACTATGTCCCTATGATTTTATGTATGAACAGGAATTACAATGTAAAATAGATGCGTGTTCGGTTTCTTTAACCGTAGCAACTCAACACGAACCTTACCACCCCGTTGACTCACGCTTCATATGTCGGCTAAGCGCCATTTTGCAGATCGATAGTTGCTACTTGTGTCCTTCTATATTGATTCACATTTGCCGTAGGCATCGGACAAAACAACATATATATAT